GGCCCTCGCCAGCCCTCGGCCTCACCAGCCCTCGGCCTCACCCCTACACTCATCCCTTGCTCTCCACACCAACCACACACCTGTCCTCTCTGCAACTCAAGCACGCCAACACGCCGCAGGACATTTGCACTGGCTATTCTGGCTCTGGCATCTGCTTCACCCACTTTTAGAAAGCTCTCAACTGTGAGGTTTCCACAGAGACTTCTCTTTCTCGCTCCTCTCCCACCGCACAAGCACCTCCTAGTCCCCTCCCCGCTTAAGTCCTCCCCAGCACGACCAGCATCTGGAGTGATGGTGGGGCTTCACAGCCACCTGTCTGCTGGAGTCCCCAGCACACTCCCTAGCAGGTGGCAGGCTTCGTAAACACCCTGGGAGCCAAACAGATGCTATTACCTCCTCCCACAGGGGAGGAAACTGAGGTGCAGAGCTGCCCAGAGGCTTGCCCCAGGTGACAGGCTTGCTAAGTGGCAGACAGAAACCCACGCAGCTGAGGCCTCCATGCCTCACTGCTGGGGCTCCCAGCATAGGCTCCAGGAAGCTTGGCTGCCCCTCGCGCTGTGGAAAGGGGCTGCAGCACAGGGGTGGCTGCAGCATCACACACCCCGAGCAGGGCTGGTTTCCCAGCAGGTCACTGCCATGGCTGGAAAGAGAAACTGAAACACAAGTTGCTCCTCACCAGACTCCACATCCCGCTGCTGGCTGGGCCCCTCAGCCCGAGGGAGGGTCAGCGCCCCGGTCTGGTCTGCGGCCGCCCCCTGGCCCCTGGCCGGGCTGTGGCTCCCCAGGCCCCGCCTAGGCGTCCCAGTGCCGATGCCAGCCCCTCGCTGCGCCTGCTCTTGGCCTCGGGCTTTGCACACTCGGCTGCTCTGCGCGGCACAGACCCAGAGGGCTCATTTTGCAGAAGACGCAAATGAGGCGTGTGTTGGGGGGCCAAGCTGCATGCCCCAGGTCACACAGGTGGGGCGCAGGGTGGGGCTGAAGGCCCGAAGGCTGTGGAGTCTGAGCTGCTCAGGGCCGGGCTCAGCTCCTGAGGGCCCAGCCCTGCCCACCCCACCGCCACGAGGCAGGTTCCTGCCAATCAGCACCTTCTTTTCCCCTCTGGCATCTGGATTTGGTTTCAGTTTGAATTTTGGATTCAGAAAATGAAACAAAAGCCATGTAACCATAGTGGTGAGGAGGGTTCACGTGTGCCTGACTCATCTTGGCTTTCACAACGAGGCACCGGCCTGGTAGAGTCCCACCAGCCAGGCTGGGAAACAGACTCCAGACAGCCAAGTCACGGAGCCAGACAGAGGCCAGCATGGGTCTCGGAGGGAGGGGCTGCAGCAGAGGGTGCTGCGGGCCTGAGATCCCGGGGAGAACCTCCACTCAGCCCTCTGACTTGCCGCTCCTGGGCGAGTGCCTCCTCCACGGAGCCTCAGTTCTCCGCTCTGCGCAGTGGGCTGACGCTGGGCCTCACCAGCGGCCCGAGGGTTCCCAGGGCAGCTCAGACTGTTAGACTGGTACATCCCAGCAGTCAGCCAACAGGGGAAAGAAGGGTCCCTCCCGCCCCCCCGCCCACTAGCACCCCGACGGTGTGAGTACAGTCAGGAGGAGGCCCGCTGCTGGGGTGGAGGCAGGCCATCACTGAGGGGGGCCTGTCGGTCATCAGCCACTTACGGGTGTCCCTCTGCCCCGAGGCCTCCCAGGAGACACGCTGCAGAAGACAAGCCACGTCGGAGCCCGCAGGGCCAGCCGCGTTCTCTGGGCCTGGACCATCCCACAGCTCAAGGAAGAGGAAGGTGCTGCTCCTCCACACCATCCATGTCGGGGCCTGACTCACCCAAGAAACTCTCCTCCGACTCACCCAAGGCTTCTCTAGCTAAGGCCTGGGGCTGGAGCTTCTAGAAGGAGCACAGGGGCCGTTGCCAAGAGTCGGTGGGCCCTGCCACGCCACGGCACCCTTGGCTGGGTGGTGGCAAGAACACCACACATCTGTGGGAGGCTGGCCATCCAGGGCAGGCCTGTGCAACTGACCGGCTGTCACTCATTCCACCCTGGGTGCCAGCAGGGAGGCACGGAGTACTCTTCTGGTTCACAGATGAAGAAACCAAGGCCGGGGGTGAAGTACAGCTCCAGGCACTAGACCAGGGAGGTGCAGAAACACTCCGGGTCCAAAGTCTGGCTTTTAACCACTACTTTATATTTTATTCATCACCCACATACCCACCGCAGGGCACAGGCCCAACGGGTGCTCTGGATGACCACAGCACATGCGCGGCTCTGCACCTTCTCGCTCGCACGATGCCCCCCAGGCACGCTCACTCCAAGCACAAGATCCAGGGCAGTCGAGGCAGTGGCCAGCACCGGCCACTGCCACAAACTAATTCAGGGAGCCCATGGACTCCAAAGCAAAGCTGGCTTTGGGTCACCCTAGGGTGGAAGAGGAAACCGGGTTGGGGGCTAGGGTGGGGGCTGGGGACGGTGGAGGCTGGAGAAGCGAGAGGGGGCCCAGAGGCCCCGGCTGCAGCGCAAGAGCTGCCTGTCTGCCTGGAGGGGGCAGTGTGCACCAGCGCGCGGGCGCGCGCTCCCCAAGCCCCGCCAGTTCTGCAACCCTGGGGCAGACTTGCTCCCACCATCCCCAGCCCTCACGGCTCTTTATCTCCAGCCCTCTAGACCTCGCCCGGGAACACCTATCCCGCGGTTTGCTCGACAGATAGGAGCACCGAATCGCACAAATGTACACGGCACAGACCCGCCCAGCAACCCATCATCCCCAGACAGAGGTGCGGCGCAGGGTGGGGGCACACTTGGCTAGAGCCCCAGGAAGGGAGGGGGCAGAGGGGGTGGCCAGGAAAGCGCAGGAAAGGTTTCTGGAATCATCACAACCGAGAAGGAACCACTATTTCCTCGGGCTCCAAAGTGCATTTGGCGGCGTCCGTAGCTCCTCTCCCCCAAATAAAAGCGCGGAGGGTGCTTCGTCCGGAGCCCCATCTGCCAAGCGCCGCTCCCCCAGCTCGGTTTCTTCAGCGGTGCAGTGGCAGCGAGGGCGAACCAGGCCACTCGGGACATTGCCCGGCCCCGCCTGGATTCCGAGGAACTGCCCACAGTGCGGCGCCCCTCCCGCGCCCAAGGGTTCCTTTGAAGCTTGCGGTCACATCACTGCTTCCTGGGAATCCCTGGCCAAGACCAAGGACAGGGAAAGCAGGGAGGGGTGCAGGAGCGACCGCCCGAGGCCCCGGGATTAGGGGCAGGGGCGGCGGGAGCAGTCCCGGGGGGCCGAGGCCGGTTCTTCAAGCCGGACCCCAGGGTCGGGTGGAGGGATCTGGTTCCAGGGGAGCAGCGGTCAGAGGTCGCCCGAGACCAGAGCTGAGACGTCTCGCTGGGGAGACGGCTACGTCGGGACCCCTCCAGCGCAGGCTGCAGAAGTCTGTCGCCGGGGGCATAAGGGGCAAAAGGGGGCGCCGGGTCCACAGGGGGCGCCCGCCAAGTGGCCCGCGGCCCGGGAGTGGGGCTGAAGATCTGGACGCAGGAATCCTAGGACCGCTGAGAGGCCAGGTCGTAACAGGGCTAGGTCC